GTCATAAAATCATGGAATGGTTTGGATTGGATGGAAATTTAACGCTCATCCAGTTCCACCCTCCCTGCCATGGGCAAGGAAGCCTTCCATTGTCCCAGGCTGCTCCAAGCCCCAGTGCCAGTGGCCTTGGACACTTTCAGGGATCCAGGAGCAGCCACAGCTCCTCCAGGCAACTTTTTCCAGTGCCTTACTACCCCCACAGGGAAGCATTTCTTCCTGGTCTCCAATTTAAACCTGCTCTCTGTCAGTTTGAAGCCCTTTGTCCTGTCACCCTTGTAAAAAGTCTCTCCCCATTTTTCTTGGAAGGCCAAAATTAGGTCACCCTGAAGCTTCTTTTCTCCAGGCTGAGCAATCCCAGTTCCCTCAGCCTTCCCTCACAGGACAGCAGCTCCATCCCTCACATGTTCAACTGCAGCCAAAGGGAGATACCATCATTCAGAAAACTCACTGCACAGACAGTGCAGTGACCAAAGAAGACACCTCCACCCACAGATCCTCTACCCAAAATAAAGAGATGGATGCTGATAAGGATTTGCACCCACATCCCCAAGCACAGAGTCTTCAGCCACAAGATTCATTTTGCATGAGCTCTACACCCAGTGATGGAGCTCCACGCTCCATCCTTTAAAAAGTCCCAGAAGTGTCCATGTCCTCTTTGGCACAGGAGATGTTTCAGAGCCCCAGGAATGGCACTGGAAGAGCTCTCCTGGGTGGCACATTTCTCATCCCATGGGCCAGCTGTTTTATCCATGGCCTTTGAGGACAAACAGAGCCAAACCTTGGCAGACACAAAGCAGAGCCAGACCTCGTGGCCTCTGCTGCCCTTTGATTGTTTCCTGTTGCAGAATTTCTGAGAGAGAGAGGACATCATTTATGTCTGGAGTGAGAATTGAGCCACCCCTCAGACCAGGCCCCTGATAAGTGGCCTTGGTGGGGCCTAGGAGCCTTTGATCCAGTAAGAATTTAATTGCGGTGCAGTTAGAAATTATGTTAAGGTATCTACAAAGTAATGAGCTGAGTGTGAATTAGGGTAGAGCTGCAGTGTGAAAAGCCTGACCACCTTAAGGCAAACAATGTTAGCTTGCCAGTGAGAGTGCCTTTGTAAACTGTAAACTATATGGAAGTGTATATAAACTGCCATCTTCTCATTAATAAATGGAGAATGTTTGTTTAACCATATTGGTTTGACGTGCGTTCTGTCCTGTCCGGCTTTCCTGTCATATGAGGAGCCTGAGTTCATTTTACACCCCTCTTGTACAAGCAATCCTTCACTGGATTAGGCCCAAAATATGAAAAAGCTGATTGCAAGACAACCACAGACAGAGAATACGTTTTCCCAGTCACATCCAGGAAGAACAAAACCTCTCCTCTCCTCGGGCTACCGAATTCTGCGAATTAACCCTTTGCACACTGCGGGTCCAGCTGGGTTTCCTTCAGGAGCGTTGTGGAATTACAGTAAAGAACAATCACTCTTCTCAAAACCAAAGTATTGATTATGCTAAGAGCAAGAAGACAGAAAGCAGACACAGCAGTTTTAGGACAGAAGTCTTTGTGGCCATCTGCCCTTATCATTGTGTAACGCTAGCACAGGTCAGCCTGACTCCTTCAGAAGCTCAGCAGAGGAACACTTCGATCTGAGCAGTCCCCTAATAGCTTCCTCCTCGGGAGGGAGAGGATCTCTTTTTAGCCACACACAGTTCCTTCTGCTCAGATCAGCTCCAGCACTTCCTCTGCATCCTCAGATGCCTTCTCTGTTCTTGCTGGTTTTCTCAACAGGCCTGATTTAACATCTCCACAGAGCAACTGTCCCCTCTGACTGAGTTCACACACTCTGTCCACAGCACTGCATTTTTATGATGCTCTATGCTCTGTAAATACTGGTGGAAGGTTGTGTTATAGAGACAAACCTTAATTCACTGTCAAGTGGCTCAAGGTTTAAAGCACCACGGTGCCATCAAATTGAATTAACCCAGAGTTGGATTAAAGTCAAGATTTACCTGAAAAATTATATTTGGACAGTTGACTTTAAGGAAAAAAAAAGGCCTATTCACAGAGACAGATACTTAAAATTACTTTTATTATTATTTACTCAAAGAACACATATTTGGAATCACAAAAATAGAGAAAAACAAGATTCACCAAACATTGTAGACTACAAAGTGTACAGACACTTAAACTTGAGTCTATTTCCAGCATTTCATTTCTTTTCTGTATGTGATACATAAAAAAATCTAAACATGCATGTTGACTATGGCATTCATCGCATACAGATGACTTCCCCTCTGAGGAACATCTTGCATGTTGTCACATTTGGCTCTCTGGGAGGACTTTTTTTATATCTCCTTTCCCAAGCAGCTGTTCACATTGCACTTTTAAAGGCCCATTCGTGCCCACATTCAGAAATGCACTGGGACTTCTCACCTCTATGTGGCACAGCCTAATACTTAAAATAAATAAAGGAGCAGGAGAGGCAAGGCAGAAACCCCACGGCAGGCTGCACACCAGCCCTGCTGGGATGATGCCATGGGAGGGCAGGAAGGTTTCACACACAGCATCTCACACACAGCAGTTGCCTGATGAGCATTTACTGCGAGACTGATCCAGGGCTGTGCAAAACAGGACGAGAAGAACTTTTACCAAACAGCATGAAAAAAAAAAAAAAGGACAAGTTTTCTCTTCAACACTTAAAGGCTATGCTATGTCTTCTATGCTCTGAAACTATGCACTCCTTTGGCTGGAATTGCTTTAGCCAGGAGTGTGGTAATGTATCTTAGCAACAGCAGCAAGGGGGAAGACTTACTGTACTGTAAAAGAATTAAAACAAAATGCACATAGCTGCTGACTGTTCTAAATACATCCTTACCACTCTGAGGGGGTGTTCAATTATACTCCTGATTACTTTTCCCGTTCCCTTTTCTGAAGGGGTGGGGGCATTTCTCCAGTTTTCAGCTCACCCATGAAGAGCCCCAAGCATTTTAATTCCCCTTTGGCTTCAGCTGTGACTAGACAGGCCCTACAATGCAACCTGTCACTATCCCAGGCACGTTAGGAAAAGCCATTACTGTAGCACCCCGGAGATAACCTCTCTGTGTGAACCTGGCTGCCCCTCCCTCAGGTGTTCAGCTGCCATCAGCCCACAGCAGCATTTTCCCTCTGTCTGGAGCAGGTGAGACTAGACAGACCAGGGCTGCAATATTTCACCTTCCTACTTGTCAGCCAAATAGAAAGCTTTGTGCAGCAGGGGAACTTTGCACAATTTCACCTCTTACCAAGGTGTGTGGTTTTCCACAAGCATAACAACCTCCTGAGAGGAAGCTTCATTTATAACCTCTCCTCCAGCCCCCAGACAGGCCATGTTCCTTACAGGCTTCCCCTGCAGTATTTTCCTTCTTGCAGAGAGCCCCACCAGCCAGGACAGGGTCTGCATCCCCCTCCTGCCATAGATGCAGGAGGAAAAACATCAAGCTGCACCAGAAGCACTGATCTGATCCAAGGGAGGCCCGACAAAGTGAGCACAAGGACTCCAGATTTGAGGTGACAGAGCCAGAGTAATGAAAACATCCATAAAAAAATGTGAAAACACCTCTTTTCCTTCAGCAAGGGAAGGTGGGCTGGTGGGCTCCCACTTTCTTTTTAAGGATTATCTTCTTCAAGCAACTCTAACAAATGCCTACAGTTAACAGCCTTACCCAAGTATCCTTCCCCCAGACAGACTTCCCAGGAATGAACACTGCCTACCTCTTAATAAAACTTCATTTAATACGTGTGAAACACCTGGAAATCTCGTGGGCGATTACTCCAGCTCAAGGAAGGGAAGCGGGGAGCTCTTTCAGTTTACTCTGGCAGAGAAGGGATCTCAGTCCACGCAGTCCTGCACAGATTTACACACAGGGAGGGACCAGGAGGTTGCCTAAGACAGCAAACTGACCAGGGGACACCGAGAGTACACATGACTTCAGCTGGCTGTTTTTCAACTTTATCTGCAACCGAGGACTGGGGGAAGAGCCAGAAACAACCACGGAGTGACTCTGCTTAGACTTGCCCAGTGTTATATTTCAAGGTTTTTGGACTATCCGCTCCATCCAACAATCCATCAGGCACCGTCATTACTCCAGAGATGTCGAGACTAATTCCACCCTAAGCGTTCCCATCTTTCAAAAGGCCGCGCTTGACTGCTGTTATATTAATTCCGTGCATGATGAAGACATTTAAAGCCTCGCATGCTCTCTCAAGCAGACGCCTTGCGTGCCTCGCTCTTGCCGGTGCAGCAGCTGAATTTCCACACGCACACGCCCGCTGTGCTCACACCAGCCGCCACCGTGCGAACCGGCACACGGGGACACGCTCCCGCATCCCCGAGTGACCCCGCATCCCCACCTCCAGCTCCTCCTGCCCCACCACAGCCCGGCCCCAGCCTCGGCTCCCGCGGGGTCGCGATGGGAGCTGGTCCCCCCGGAGGCTGCCGGAGCCACCCCGGCCACGCTCGCACCGCGCCGGGAGGGGAGCGGAGCCGCGGTCCCCGCTCCGCCGCTCTCCCTTGGGGGCTTTCGGAAACTTTTCTCCCCACCCTGCCGTCACTCCGCGTTAGCGGGGCTGCGGGCAGGGCCGAGCCGAGCCGGGAAGTTTCTCCCGTGGGCGCTGGGTCGGAGCAACTTTCCCCGCACGGCCCCCGGAGCTCCGAGCGCTCCGGCTGCCCGTGCGGGAGAAACGCGAGGAGGAGCTCGCTTCGGGGGAGGGGGAGATGCAGCCGGGGCGTGGGTAAGCCGCTCCCTTCTTCTTCCTCCTCCTCCTCCTCCTCCTCCCCCCGTCGGCTGCTCCAGTCTGGCAGCCAGGCGGCCGCTGCCTCCGGCCGGAGCCGCCGCGCTCGGGAAGCGACTCCCGGCCCCGGGATGGGGACGCCGCTGGCGGCTCCGGGATTGCTGCTGCTCCTCCTGGCCGGCACCGCGGGGCTCTGCCGGGCGCTCTTCTCCCTCCCGCTCCGCGTGTCCCACCCCGCCGCCCCCGCCGGGTCGCCGCCCGCCCCGGTGGTGCTGCGGCCGGCCAGCGGCAGCCGGCAGCAGGATGCCCCCGGGGCTGCGGACGGCTTGGCCTTGGCCTCGGATCCCGGCGGCACCCTCAACTTTTTAGCCATGGTGGAGAACCTCCAGGGAGACTCCGGTCGCGGCTACTACCTGGAGATGCTGATCGGGACCCCGCCGCAAGCGGTAGGAGCGGGCCGGGGGCTGCGGGCTGGGGGCGCTGGGAGGGATGGAGAGGAGGGGGTCAAACTTCTCCTGGGTGGGAGCGACTCGGCCGCCCCGCAACTCGCGGCTCCAACGCAACTTTGTCCCGGTGCTCGGCGCTGGCGCCTCCTCCCTTCCCCTTTCTCGCCCTCCCTTCCCGGGGGATGGGGCCGGTGCCCGGCGCGGGGGAGCGGCGGCAGCAGCAGCGACTTTCCGCGGACCCGCAGGGAGGAGAGAAAGGAGAGGAGCATCCCGGGCTGACCCGTCCTGTCCCTGCTCGGGAAATCTGCGGGTCTGGTCCCCAGGATTTCTTTTAGGCTGTGTCACGGCGTCTGGATCCGAAGCGAGTTGCTCTGCCAGTCGAACTGACCGTGTTTTAGAGACAGCGGGTGCTTTTTTTGTTATCCTTTGCTTTTTTAAGCTGCTCTGCATCGTGATTGGGCGCTTTGGTAGATCTTCCCAGTGCTCCCGGGAGAATCACTCGGCATCTTCCTGCTAAACTAAGTGATGGCTGGGCACAACCAGCCCTTCTGTCGGGAACCCATGTGTTACTGATTAACGGGGCAAAGAACGTGTGTGCGTTCTGAATATTGTTTTCAGATAAAGCGTGTTGCCTTCAATCTTCCCTCTCTGCCTCCACCAGTGTGGCTGAAGTTTGTTTCGAGTTGGTTTTCTGTTTTTTTTGTGTTTTTTTGGTTTGGTTTTTTTTTTTTTTTTTTTTTTTTTTTTTTTTTTTTTTTTTTTTTTTTTTTTTTTTTTTTTTTTTTCCGTGTAGTTGCTCTTTCATCTGTGTCATGAGATCCCAGGAGGAGCGGTGCTGGGCTGCTGGTGGGATGACTAGTCAGCTGAGCGGGGATTAATTTCCTGAGAGCCCTCGGGGCTTTCCTTCAGAACTTTGTGTTTGCTTCAGGAGTTTAGGTCCTGAGGTTCCCAGTGTAGACAGAAAAAAAAAAAAAAAAATCTTTATTCTTCTGCTTAACTCCCCTGCGTAATAGAAAGCCGATGAATGCCAGAATGTGCAGCCAATGGGGAGCGTTCAGCCGTCATTGCATTTTTGGATGTCTGTGAGCTCTTTCTTTTTTTGCCCCTCGAATATAAGAGGATTGGCCACATCATCTCTCTAATCACAAGATATCACACTGCAATCAATACATGCATTGAGAAAGGCTGGCATTGTTTTATGATCAATAAATAGAGATTTTTTTTTTAACCCATAACTAGGTCTGACATATCAAGGTGTGGCCCAGTAGCCACAGAGGCCATTAAATATTTTTTCCTCTGTGTTGAGTGATGCATATTTGACTAGTTCTGTTAGTGTGGTGTGCTGTGTGCTTCATAACTCCAGGGAACATTCAAACATTCAATATTGGCTTCTGCCAGAATCAAGGCACCAGATTTGATTGGACTAATCACCCAATTCAGCATGTCTTAGATGAAAAAAAATAACTTCAGGTAGGAAAAGTGACTATCCAGTATATTATCTCCTTACATGTCTAGGGGCATTCTGAAATGGGAAAAAATGGAGAAGGAAAAATGTGACAGACCTTTAATAATATGACTGGAGGTCTAAGAGGGAGAAATGTGCTGCCCTCAGTACACCCACAGGCTTCACTTATGCTTAACAGCTCGTATCACTTTTATTACAGGTAATGGAAGGTTTCAGCTAGACTTGCCTCTGATTTTTATATTTTCCACATTAAAAAAGCATTCTTTGAATCTGATTGCAAAGCTTTTACTACTTCAAACTAGTTCTGACTTATGCAAAGTTAATTATTTTAAAGACTACCACTGGTTTAGCACATGTGAGGTTTTATTCACAAGTAGACCCACTGAGGTTGTAAGTAAGATTATAAATGCTTCTGTTTCCCAAAGCAGATCTTGGTGTGTAATGACTCAGTGGAGTGCAGTTAGAATTTATTCTGTACTTTTGACGAGGATGAATTTGTTATCCCATTCCCTGCCGGAAACCAGAAAACTTAAAGATCACAAATGTACTTGCTGTTTTTCTGCTTTGCAACGAGTAGTATAAAGCTACAAAGCTGCTGCTGTTGGTACTTGAATGCTTCACATGCTGCTACTAAAAGCAAGTGTCTGCATAGTGCCAAGCGTTGGATTGTGTTAAACTCCTTGGGCAAGTCGTTGCTGGAGTTGGGAGTGGGCTGTGCGTGATGGTGTAGAAAAGGAAAAATCTTTCCCTGATTTAAATGCTCCCCCCAGCCTGACTTTGCTCCACGTCAGAAGCTGCTCTGCAAAGTGATGCTCGGACACCTTCCTTTTGCTTTTGTGCCCCTCCAACTTGGGGTTTCCCAGCTGCCTGCCCGAGCCAGGCGCAGGACTGCCAGCCCAGGGAGCAGGAGCGCTGCCCTGACATTGTGCCAAGGAGGAAGGAGGGTCTGGCGGCGAGGAGCGGCTGCGCTTCCGCGCTCCCGGAGCAGGAACGTGCATGGCACAGCTGCTGCTCTGCACAGGAGCACACAGGGGATGGGGAAATACTCACAGGACAGTGCTGGACCACGACCGAGCAGCAGGCTGTGAGAAGGGAAAGCAGATTTGGTGTCGTGGTTACAGTAGAGTTGGTGCCCAGTGACTTCGGGAGCGTGTGCGTCAAGTGTTGGAAGCTGCTGAGCCAGAATGGGGAATGAACATTTGTGAAAGGCTTCAGCACTACAGGGCTTGCTTTACTGCTCAGCTGCATTTTTAGAAATTTTCCTTTTTTAATTCCTGTTCTTGGAAGGAAGCTACTATGACAGAATCTCGTTTTTCAGGTCATTTAAGGCATACTTTTTGGCTTTCGTTCCAATTCTGATTTGTCATATAGCAGATAAACACAGCACAGAACTGCGATTCACAATGGCAGCTCTGAAACACTTGTTCTGATGGTACAAAAATAGAGCAGCTGCTGCGTGAAGTCAAAATTTATTTTATTTCCAAAACAGGAAACTTCAATGCAGTCAATCCAGTTTTGCAAAGTGCTTGCAGCCAAAGTGTTTCTGATCATTTCCAGTTTTATGATACAGTATCCTTCCTAATCCTATCAGATCTCCAGACCAGCTACCAGGTTGGTGTCAAGTGTTATTACTCCCACTAATTCTTATTCATTCACATGTAGACCTACTTAAGAATTATGTGAAAGGTGAAAACGGTCTGTTATATTGAAGGGTGTGATGTATTTGTCCCTTATTTCATGGATGTATTATTATGTGTCCTAATCCTGATGGATTATGGGCTTTATACCTGTCTGTATAGGTTCACTTCTTCCAGTTCCAGATTTAAATAAGAGGTGGCAAGAGCCCAATATGAATTGTGTGCAGTGTTCTTAGCTATTTCTTTAAATAATCTGATGGAATTCCTTTGCTCTACCTTTTATTATTTTCCCTACCCTGAGATTATAAGAATTGTGAGAAATTGAATCCAAGATCATTTAGGTTTTTTTGCTGTCTTCACTGCAGTCCTCTTCATATTAATTTTGTTTCTCCTACAAGCTTTTGACCAAAAGAATAGTCAAACTCTTAAAAAAACCTCATGTTTTTCGCAGCTTTCTTGAAGTCCATCTGGACTGCATTAAACATTTGCAGGGACAGTACCACTGCCTCATCTTGCCTCTTGTACAAGGTGGTGATAGTCCTGCTGATCCCACTGCATTTCCAAGCTGTGTTTTTATGGAGAACAGGTAAATGTTACTCCTGCAGCTTCTCTGTGAAAGAGAGGGCAGGCATCAGCCCCTGTGAGCTCGGGTCTGATTAACCACAAAAGGATCCAGCTTGTGCTCTGAGTGCCACAGCTCCTTTCTCTCAGTCTCAGTTTTTCATTCTGTTCATGAAGAGGCTTTTAAATCTGCTGTTTATCCTAATGGCAGTTTGTTCTGTGCACAGGGTGAGCAAAAACCCCTTCTATAAACTTGCTCCCAAGTTTTAAGGTCAGTGTGGATGTTGGGTCTTACAGCCCCCGCTGCAAAACACAAACTTCAGTTCCCACATAATTGGTGGGAGGTTATCTTCCCTTCCATTTCTTCCAGCTATTAAAGAGAGGAATGATAAAGAAGGATATGTATTAAATACCTCTAGTGTGTCGTGGAGTCAGAATTTATAGCTTTGTGTTTTGAAGGTGATGTAAACAGACATTAACAAGTTCTGAACTTGCAGCCATTATTTCTTAATTGGTAGTAGTTCTCATTCCCTGAGTGTTGAAAGGAATGAAGATCTGAGGAAAGATTCAATTGCTCTTGTAATTTGATTTTTGGTGCTGTACTATTCCCCAACAAGCTCAGCTCCGCTTTCTTAATTTTGCTGAAAAGGAGCTCACTGTCTTTCTAGATACAAGGAGTTTTAAAATTTGATCTTTCTTTCTTCAAATATCTGAAGGCAAGTTCCATCTCAAGTCTATCTTTCTGTCTTTTTTTTTTTTTTTTAGTAATTATTAAAGTCTTTTGTATTTATTTTTGAGTTCTTTAAGAAAACTGAAAAAACAAAAGGCTGAGAAGCAAAGACAAGTTCTATGGTGCATTGGAGTGTTTTGAGGTGACAGCATCAAAATCCTTCCAGATCTGTCTAGTGGAAATAGTATTGAAATGCAAAAATATTCCTGTTTTTAAATGGTGATTTGAGACAATTTTGGTTGTTGTTGTTGAATACCTGCAAAATGAAAAGGACATGGACTTGGCAGTTGTAATTCAGGACTAATACAGTGAACAGCTGGGCTGTGGTGTGTTTTTGACCCAAGACAAGCAAGCAAATATTCCGGGTTTGGGTTGACCAAAAAGTCTCTACCTTTACAAATTAGCATTCCAGCACCTTCTTCCATCCAAAATTAGCCCTGGCAAAAGAGGCTGTGTGGGGGTAGTAGAGCCTGTACTATAGAAATAACCCAAAATGTGAGGGCTGATCTCACTGAATGGAAGAGGCTCACTGTGGTCATTCCTCAGGATGTGCTTCTCTCCCAGAGTTAGGGATCAGAGCCTCACAAACTGCTCCTTTAAAGGAGCT